TGTTTGTGGTGGTACTGAGCATAGAGACTAGGAGACTAGAGACTAGAGACTAGAGACAGAATATACAACTTCCTGTCTGGCACCGTTCCTACAAAGGAATCATATCACTGGAGCCATCTTACATCGGCAAGGCCGGTCTACAATAACGATAGTGTAATTAGTGTCAGTACTCCGGCTTTAAAACTGCACATCATTAATCTACGGAAGGCGTCATACAAGAAATCAGCGCACAGATGGGTCTACCCGACGCAACACGGTAATTCTAAAGCCAACAGAGAAAAGATAATTTACTGAACCTAATAGAAATATGCGGTACTTCAGATCGTTTCTCAACGTAATCACACGGATTCTACTCATAACCATGGCCGTTCTTCCACGAAAATCATATCACTACGATTTTCTACAACACGTGCATAGTTTACAAATAGATGAAAGTCTACTACGCTAGGTACGTTATGTTTTTATAAAGAAAATTGGTTTTCATAAAACCATAAAGAAATATTCCCATAGATGAATTCTCTTGAGATATTCTAACATCACCGAGAAACAATTCTGACCGTTTTTCGTATACTTTGCAGCGCTCGTGCTGCAGATTTTGCTCGCTTTCTTTTTGTCCTGTTATTGATGTTAGAGTTACAACGTAATTTCTTCTATATATGGTCATTAGGTGCGCAACTGCCCGGTTATCTGCACCCTTCTCGTCAGGTACACCTGCCAATTCCAAAATGTGGTACATTGATCGGAACAATGATCCTTGGCTATACGACACTGCGGATTTGTTGAGTCCGGCTGAAATAAATCAACATATATAATTTATTCCTTCAGAAAGAGTTCATTGATTATATATGTAAATAAATCGTAGTTATTAGGAAATATCCTTGACATACTACGAAAATATCTGTGATATACCCACCTCGTACTAAGTGTTTTCATCATGGATTCATCATGGAGCGCGTCTCGCTCTCATCATCTTCGTCCCCGCATCCTCTTCGTCGATGATTGTCACTAATGCCGACAGACGTCGTCCAGTCCAGGTCTCATGGAACGGTTCCTCCCCGTTCCATACTGCATCCCAGTTTTCCTATCCTGCCTAGTAGCTGTAACTTTGAGGCCTGGTCGACCACCTCCAAAAGCCCGCAGTCGCTGGGGGTACCCAGACAGCAGTCATGGTCGTACCAGTATCCTTCTCCGAGAAACTTGTGCACGTGAGTCCGCTGCAGAGTGCGCGTCCGTACCGAGGTTTTTTTTCCAAGGGTGTAGAGAGGGCAAGCCCTCTACTATTGACCCTACCGACACGAGACACCACTCCGGTACTACCGTACGGCATTGCTTCAGGGTGGCGCTCACGTTCGTCATTAGCAGACTCCTACATCCACGCCGACATTTCCCTACATCCCCCATCTCTCTTTATTTCAAGAGATTCGGGGTTCAGGATCTGCTTCTTCCTTCTTTCCGGACGGGTCTGATATCAATCCGCGTCGTCTCTCTCCTTCGTCGTCGACACTCTCCATTTCACGACGCTTCATCAGCGACACCGCAAATTTTACACCTGCTTCCCAGTTCTTCGGGGATCTCAACATTATCTTCACCATATTGTCCGGTGTGACATCCATCTCTCCAGTATCTTCTTTAAACTGGTTCACATAATCCATCGCTATTGGGCATCCAAAGGCTGCGTGCTCTGCATTATCGACTTCATACCCACAGAGGCTGCAGCTGGAATCTCTCCTTATCTTCATCCACTTCAAGTAATCATTAAATCCTCCGTGATTCGTCAATAATTGCGTGAGGTGGTACTCAACCTCTCCATGTCCTCTTTCCATCCATTCGCCGATACTCGGAATAAGCCGGGCCGTCCATTTGCCATCAGCTTTTTCTGCGTTCCATCGTTTCTTGTTGTAATCGTACGGTATCCGGAGATAACACGTAGCGCCACAGTACGCTGCGCGGATAATAGTTTCTCCACATATGTCTTCCGGTCTAGGATAGAACCCCACACTTCCACACCATACAACAACTGGGATTGCACCGCTATACTTATCACTCTCCTCTTGAATTGCCGTCCACCTCCAATGTTCGGCATCAGTCTTGCTAATGCAGCAGCCGTATTCCTTGCCTTGTCAGCAGTTTTCTCCATGTGACTTATAAATCTTAGCACACTATCAAAATGAACTCCGAGATACTTCAAGCTTTTCTTCCATTCCGCTTTGTGCCCTCCCACAGATACATCTGGTGGTATCCGCACCTGCTGGTTGGTGAGCAACATTGCCTCCGTCTTGTGAGCCACCAGGGTGAGGCCATTCTCCGTCATCCACGCACTCACCGCATCCAGTCCTCCTTGGACTCTCCATTGTAGGTCCTGGGTCCCTTTACAGTAGGCAACTAGGACCACGTCATCAGCAAATCCCACTAACTCCACTTGGTTAGGTATGACAAGATTAAGGAGCCTATCATACATGGCGTTCCACAAGAACGGACCTAACACCGAACCTTGCGGCACTCCTGCCGTCACCTGGTACTCTATCACTCCATTCTCCGTATTGTACAGCAGTGTCCTGTCTAACAAATAACTGCTAGTTATTCTCATCAGGTACTCAGGCACGTTCCTCTTTTTCAGGGCCTCTATTATCCTTTCCCAGCTGGCGCTGTTGAAGGCGTTTTTAACATCTAACGTAATTACCGCGTTGGCTCCTACAATCCTGCGTTTATTTTGCACCTTCGGCGCCGCCACATCCAACACATGCATCATGGCGTCAATGGTTGATCTACCTTTACGAAACCCATACTGTTTATAGGATAGGTCACCCGCCGAGCCGCAGTGATTCAGCAACCGGGTCAGAATTAAACGCTCCAGGAGCGTACCAGTAGTGTCTAAAAGGCATAACAGCCTATATGACGACGGGTTCTCCATATCTCCGTCCTTCTTTCTCAGCAAGACTAACTTTTGCCTCTTTCAGACTGCCGGGAAAATTCCTGCCTCCAGACATCCATTAAAGACCGTCAGAAGTAGTTCTGGGAATTCCTTCGCAATGATCTTCAATACCTCATTTGGAACGCCATCTGGGCCTGGTGCCTTCATTGTTGGGAGTCCTATTGCTGCTGCCTCCTCTAGGTCCTTCAAGGTCAACCTTGGAATTGCCTCCACCTCTACGACGAATTGCTGGGCTGATCTTGGATGGTGGCTTGGAGACAAAGTTTTCACAATGTTACCTATACGTTCAGGGTTCAGCAATCCTGGGATCGCTTTTGGAGGCCCGAGCTTCTTCATGACCAATTTATACGGATTCCCCCAAGGGTCCTGCTCCAGCTCTTTAATGAAGGCTAACCAGCACTCCCTTTTTGCTCTACTAATAGCTTTTTAACTTCCCAGTGGGAAGTTATAGTAATGGGTCCGATTTTGCGAATCGCTAATTTTGCGCCAACAAGCACGCGGTCGAGCACTTGTGGCGTCAGTTAGCTCCAGGCAAATCACGCGGTCATCTCTGTATGATTGTTCGCAGTCAAATCGCGGTTTTGTGCAGTCAGCTCACCTTTGGTAGTACCAAATACAGTCAAGTAGACTCAGACAACTTTCACGAACAAAAGTGAATCATCATCATTACTCTCATCAGTGCCAGTGGTCCAGTATAGTCAGTTGTAGTGTCTTTGGGCGCGAAGCTGAACTGGCGTCGACGCCATCAGACAATTCAAAAGTGTATAAACAATTAATGTACAGTCAACTCACATAAACTCAGTGATTATTAATTTCTATTGGTTAAGTTAAGTGTTATTGGTTAATAAAATCTATAAAACCCATACAATTTGGTGTTAATAAACTATTTTAAGGAACCTTCTAGCATCCAACCTTTTTCTTCATTCTGCTCTTAATTATTACAGTCCACTAGTTTTTAGTTTGCTCGTCCGGCCGACTCGAAGTCAGAACATTTGGTCCTTCGAGCCGGATGAGAACGGCTTGGATGCATGTCGAACAATTCTAGAAAGTTCTAGTGCTTCATAATTTTGTGAATATTTTGTGAAATGCTCTGTATAAAGTGCTTGGAATTTAGATAGACTCAAATAACTTTCAGTGTCAGTGTGTAAACAACCTTACAGACAAAAGGTGTTTACGCATTCCAGTGCCCAGTGACACTCATCTTTGTTGTGGTGCTCAGTCTGGCCAACTTGGACTTCTCTTTAGACGCTTGGCGCGCATTTTGGTCAGAGTCAAGATAACCTTGACGCAGTCAACTCACGTGTATATAAACATAGTTCGTGGTAATTATTTGGAAGTGGGGTCCACCCTATTTTTAGCTATAAAAAATCGAAAAATTGACATTTTTACATATTTTTTTTTTCCATTTAATGCGTTTTCACGGCGCATTTATGATAAAAATTGAGATAAGTACGAAAAATTAATATTTCAATAAGTTTTGAGCACTTGAAATCGTAAAAAAATTAAAACTTTCATGTTTTTCATGAAAATTTTAATTTTATCATTTTTTTAAATATTCTAAAAAACTACAGAAAAAAACAAACAATTATTAAAGTATTACAGTTTAAACATATTCCATCAAACAGAGAGCTTAGAGCTCTCTCTATAGGCACGATAAGTTACGTTCATCATGCCTGTGTTATATAAAATAATATAAAGATAAATTCAGAGCTAAAAAAAATCCTTTTTTTACTTGTTTTCAGAGAAATTGTGGGTATCATACGATTCAGAAGTCACACAGGTTGTGTTTGTTTTTCAGGAAAATTGTTGGTGTGACACAATGGAACGATTATACTAAAATCTAATTTCACCCACAATTTCCCTGAAAGACAAGCATCACCTGTCTAACTACTGAATCGTATTATACCCAGAATTTTCCTGAAAATGTCCTGAAGAATGAGCAACATTATAATTAGATAAAAAATAATACGGTGTTTATTTTTTAACAGTATAATAACTTAACAAAACAATGAGAAAATTATTTTTTAACAACAACGTAATTCATATGTTATTGAAAAACAAAAATACATTATTCACTTATAAGCTCATCATGAAATTCACGTAATGTAATAAAAAATTCATGAAGCCGATCACGGTGATCAATAATTTTTGATCGGAAGAACAATTCCGCTATGTAACCCGACATATTTTTTTCACGACGTCCATAATTAGGAATATGAGCTCTTGCGGTTCGCCATGTACGCTCAATATTCTGGGTGTAAGCGCCAGTGTCTGGATCGACGAAATTATGTTTGTGATTGACCCTAAGGTGTTTGAAGCCTAAAAACCAAATATTTTCTTTTATCTACTGTCACACATTTACAGATATTTTCACTCATTAACTTATTCACACACACTTTCACTCACTCACTTATTGACTCATTTACACACACTGTCACTCACTTACACATATTCTCACTTATTGACTCACTCACACACTCACTCCCTCACTCACACACATACATACTTAATTACATTTACTATACCTTCATCACTCAGACAATCGTATGCCTTCCAACAGTCGGACATGATCGTCGTATTAGGCCGGATTTTCCGCTTGATGATCGCGAGCAAAGTTTCTTTTGTACGGTTGGGAACAGCTTCTATAAAAAAAGTTTTACTTTCCCTTTCAAATCCGCCAAATAACCATTGGCCATCAATGATGCGCCCTTTATGGTATTTTCGTCGTCCAAACTTGGCCTTATCAATTTCAACAACCTTATTCCGCCCACCGATCTTTGCGGCTGAGTTTTTGAGTGCCCAATATTCCAACACTTCGCGAATAAACGACGACCAATCGCAATATGTACTAGAAGATAATTGCATATCACGCATTATAAATTCCTGGTGAGGCGGATTAAGGGGCAAATATTCTGCAATGAATTGGCAGCTTATTTCTGGATTTAAATGGGCATTGGCAAACCCACGAGCCTGTACGGAGGGACTGTTTAAAGTTGCATCTCTTCGTTTTCTTTTTCCGATTCTCCGAAAACGTAAATTGTTTACGACACTCCCATTTCATACTGTCGGTATTCAATTTGCAAAAATTATTACACGATTTACATTTTACCTCTGATTTTATTGCATCATGGCTCATTAAAAATTTTAATGATTCTTCTCTACTTTTAAAAATAGTAAATGCTGCAATTAAATCAAGAGAACATTGTTTACAAATCATTTTCAATAAAATTGTCAATAACAACACTAATAGCTATAATAATAACAACACAACACTAAGAACAATAACAATCACTATAGTAATGACACACTAATAACACGGTTAATAACAATAGTAATTGAACACTAATAAATTAACAATAACAATAAATAATTAATTAATTAATATTGTTAATCAAAATCATTAACATGTGAAACAATTTGATCACTGATAAGTATTGCAATTAATATAAGTATATATTTATATTAAAATATGAGCCAAAAAAGTCCCTCGTCCATTCTAAAAACATACAACTAGCACCAATCGATGAATTAGCATTCAACATTACCCATAACAACGAAAAATTAGCTAGAAACTCGGTTAATGGCGCTAGTATTCAAATTTGATATTAAAAGTTAAAACTTTTTTTTTATAACTTTGTAAATTATAATACCTACATTCTTGTTATAATTCTTTTGAAAAAAGTTCATTTTTCAATCTTTTAATTTAATTCCCGAGTAAAAATATATAGGCCCGAAAGAAGCCCAAAACACGCCCAAAATGAAAAATAAGCCCAATACAGGCCTGATTGAAGCCCATTACAGGCCTAAATTTTGGAAGAGCCCAATTGACGCCCAAAAACATTTTCTAGGCCCACAACACGCCCAATTCGAGCCCAAAAATATTGTCCAGGCCTAAAACGCGCTCAAATCAGGCCTAAAACTATTTTGCAGGCCTAAAACACGCCCAATTGAAGCCCAAAAATATTCTCTAGGCCTAAAACACGCCCGATTCAAGTCCATTTTCTAAGATCATATTCGACAATGATGACAATAAATCATTCCAAATGTAAATTTGTAGCACGAAAGTTAATTTGATGATACGTTTTTATGACAATTTTTTGTTTTTTTTTTAGATTTTTAAAATATTTTTGGGCCTGGATTGGGCGCGTTTTAGGCCGAGAAAATATTTTTGGGGTTGGATTGGGCGCATTATGGGCCTCAAAAATATTTTTGGGCTTCAATTGGGCGTGTTTTCGGTCTTGAGAATATTTTTGGGCTTCAATTAGGTGTGTTTTAGGCCTGCAAAATAGTTTTAGGCTTGATTTGGGCGCGTTGAGAGCCTAAAAATCATTTGGGCACGAATTGTGTCTCCTTTGAGCGCGCCCAAAAACTGATGATTTTTACTCGGGTTTTTAAAATTCAATAATTTGTAAAAATGGTTAGAATCATCATATTCAATTTTTTTTTTTTTTAAATTATTCGTTGTTTAGTGTACTTTTTGAAAAAAAATAACTCGATAATGTTAAAAAATTATATAATAGAAATTTTAGCTAAAAACATAAAACATTTGTCATTTTTTCAACTTTTGAGAACCAAAAACTGTTTTAAATTTTGTTTTTTCGATATAGCTCCATTTTTTATCATAAATGCGCCGTAAAAATGAATAAAATGAAAAAAAAAAAATTCCTATATCATAATTTTTTGATTTTTTATAGCTAAAAATAGGGTGGACCCCACTTCCGAATAATTACCGTTAGTTAATTTGTGTGATTCTTTTGGTGTTGAGACTTTATTGAAACCCCACCATTTGTATCAAGGTGACATTAGACAACTCTAGCAACATTTTTTGTGCATTTTCTTAGTGATAAGTGTAGCGTTAGTGACATTAGACAACTCACTCAACTGAACAATGGCAGACAAACGGTTAATTTCGCCTGCAAAGTCGGACTACGTAGATGTAGCCGAAGACAATGAGTCAGTTGAAGGGATTAGTGAGATATTAGAGCAAGTGAGTGTAAGCCAAGCGCCATCACCAGTTCCAGTCGACTCTCAGGCAGAAGGTATCAGTGGACCAACACTCAAGGTTCCCGAAAAAGCCACCACATCACGTGAGAGGTCGAAATCACCTCCTGCCCTGGCAAACACCACGCTGTTTAAGCTCACATCTCAAATGTCCAGGTATAAGCAGCTTCAATTCATGCAGCAAGATGTGGCTGACCTTGTGCGACAGCCTGCTCTCGTCACAATGTCTATGATCGAGGCTAAGCTATCCCAATTGAACGACCTCTGGACATACTTTGTAGTGGAGCATGAGGCATTAGGTGTAGGATGTCGGTTGACGCTTTTCAAGCACAAGTACATGACCGATAGAGTGTACGAAAGTGCTTGAAGGCTTCATTATCATATTGAGTCAACTCTCCATCGTGTTAAATCAGAACTACACGAGAAGGACATCCAGAAGGCCATCGACGACTACAAAGCCTCAACTCAGCAGACGACTCCAATGATCTACAGACAGGCAACTCTCCCAGAGATCCCCCTCCCAACATTCGCAGGCGACTCATCAACGTGGACGCAGGGACATGTTCACATCCCTCGCTCACGATCGGGAAGATCTCAGACCAGTGGCAAAGTTACATTACCTTAAGGCCAATGTATCAGGTCCCCCACTTCAATTGATCCGTCATGCAGTGATGAACGACGATGGATACGAACCAGCGTGGAATCAACTCAAGTCCAGGTATGATGATCCAGAGCAACTCATCTTCGCCCACATCAAGGACTTGTTCAGTGTGACCACACCATCATCAAAGTCAGCTGAACAACTCGATAACCTGGTAGGCGTGGTACGCCAAAACTTAGATGCCTTGAAGGCACTCAATGTCCCAGTCGACTCAGCAAACTACTTCTTGGTATACTTGGTGGCCAGTAAACTTAAGCAGCCGCTACGTGAGTCATGGGAACTCGAGCGAAGTAGGTCTCGCTCACCGACAACTCTAGACAGTCTACTCAAATTCATCTCAACCAGGGCACGTGCGATGGAGTCAGCTCAAGATGCAGCCCGTCAAGCAAAACGGTGGCCTACTCCAGTGATCACCAGAAAGTCCAGATCACAACACCAGTCCACTCGCCAGCAGACACTCAATCGCAGACGACTCGAGCCTCCAGGCATGGGGCTCAAAAACGACAAGCAGATTACCCGTGTGATCAATGCAGCAGTTTGGATCACTATTTGGTTGACTGCAAATCATTCGCAGGACTCTCGCAACAAGACCGATACAAGCTGGTCCTCGCAGCACGGCTGTGCTTAAATTGTTTAGGCCACCACTCGATCCAGGTGTGCCAGTCTGACAAGCGGTGCAGTGTATGCAATTAAAAGCACCACACAATGATTCACACTCCCCGAACAGCATCCTTACGGAAGAGAGGATATGGCCCAGGCCAAGAACCGCAGCCAACTCAACCAGGTCAAGAGCCATCAACCTCCCAGCAGTGAGGTGATGACGTGCCATTTCCACAGCCGACTCCAGATCACACTCATTCATCTACGGAGACTTCTCACCAGGTAACTCATCATCACAGTCAACTCTGATTATGCTTCAGTCAACTCATCAAGTGGTGGTGTGATCACTCAACATGCAGACAACTCAACAATCAATGGTGATGAATCATGTCAATCTACATGCGCTAACAGGAGTAAAGAATGCTTCTCTGATGACTCGACGGAAAGGATGACCTCAGCACATGAGGTTTCAGCCTCAGAAGGGTTGAGAGTCCTGGAAGAAGAGTCAAAAGGTCTCGTTCGATCTCCTACAGCTGAAGAAAAGAGTCTCACTCACACTAGTCAACTCTCAGACGACTCACATGATTCAACAATTACCAAGAACAAGACAGACAACTCAGAGATTCATGGACGATTCTCTTCAGCACTTAGAGCAGCAGAAGAGACACGGACTAATGAGTCTTCAGATCAATCAGACAGCTCAGCAGTCTTACACACCACAGCCAATGCAGTATTACTCTCAGACTACTCTCAGCTTCCAATAAGACTCCTGATTGAGTCAGGGTCTGAGCTGACGTTCATCTCATCAAGTGTGGTAAAGACTTGTCATCTCCAACGTCGTCCATCAGTGATATCGGTCAAATACTTGAACAAATACTTCGGGACTCCCTTCTCCCTCAGAGCTTCCAGTATTCTTAACCAGCTGGCACTATTGAAAGCATTCTTCACATCCAACGTCACAATAGCACTGGCTCCAAATATCCTCCTTCTTCCTTTCACTTTAGGCGCCACAATATCCAACACATGTGTAACCGCATCAATGGTTGACCGTCCTCTCCTGAAGCCATATTGCCGATCTGACAAATCCCCCACTTCCTCGTAGTGCTCCTGTAGTCTTTGGAGTATCAGTCGTTCCAGCAGCTTTCCTGTCGTGTCTAACAGACAGATCGGCCTGTACGATGATGGGCTTTCCAAATCACCAGTCCCCTTACTCAACAATACCAACTTCTGCCTCTTCCAGATATTCGGGAATACTCCACATTCCAGGCAGCTGTTAAAGGCATCAAGCAACACTACTGGATACTCCTGCGCCACTAACTTCAGTACCTCGTTTGGTACGCCGTCAGGTCCTGGCGCTTTGTTGTTCACTAGCCCCTTGGCAGCCATCTTTAGGTCCTCCAGCGTCCATCTTGGGGGGTTCTCTTCCACTGTGTTGGCCTCCACTCGTCTCCAAGGATGCCGAGAGAACAGCGTCTCAACTATATTCCGCATCCGATCGGGGTTTAGCAATCCTGGAATTGCTTTAGGCCCTCCCACCTTCTTCATTACCAGCTTTTATGGAAGCCCCCAGGGATCATTCTGGATCTCCTGTATGAAGGACCTCCAACAAGCATTTCTTGATCTCGAGATCTCTAGCTTCAGGTCTTTTCTTGCAGCCTTGTATTCTCCCTCCTCCCGTGCCACGTCCAACGTCCTCCGCCTCCGCCGCTGGCATTTCCTTCTACTAGCTAGGCATACCTTCCTTTTCCTGGCTATCTCTTCCGTCCACCAATACACTGGGCGTCTTTTTCCTGCTCCACCGTTCTTTCTAGGCATCGAGCGGTCGCAAGCGGTTCTAAGTAGCTTGCATAGCTCCTCCACTGTGGCCTCTCTTGAGCCGTCCTGTCCTGCGAGTGCTTTCTCCCTTTCTTTCCTGACTATTTCGACCAGGTCCTTTTTCCTCAGCTTCTTTACCGCCCAAGCATTCCAGTGTTGTGCTGTCTCCGTCTTGCCGAGCCTTCCATCCTCTGGTACCCCAATATTGAAGACGATATACTGATGATCACTCCCCGTATACTCCTCCAGCACTTTCCAGCCAGTAGCGCTGTTTAGAAGGCTTTCTGATACCATTGTAACATCAACAATAGACCCAGTATCTCTTCTCCTGAAAGTGAGAGCTGTTCCTTGGTTGAGGATCGCTAGGTCCTGACGTCAAGGTCATGAGTTCCATAGGCAGAGTGCTGATCCAGACTACTCAACTCCAAGACCCATTGACATCTTAATAGGAGCAGATTGTTATGGTCTGATTGTGAAAGCGGGCATCAAACAATGTCCTCAGTCATCGCTAATAGCCCAAGATTCAATTTTTGGATGGATGCTCATTGGAAGTCCACAACCGACAAGATGCTTAAGTCAGAGAACTCATCACGCAACAAGGGTCAACTCATACCAGCAAGTATCTGATCTCTTGACAAAATTCTGGGTTCAAGAAGAAGTTCCAGAGACTTCAGCCAGCCAACTCAGCCCAGATGATCAATCGTGTGAAGATCATTATGTTACGACTCATTCAAGAGACCAAGATGGGAGATATATTGTGAGAATACCACTAAAAGCATCACCATCTCTTCTAGGCAACTCATCAGCAAGAGCTCATCAGTGTTTACTACACATGATCAGACGACTCACAAAGAATGACTCATATGCACAACTCTACCACAATTTTATGCGAGAATATGAGTCACTGAACCACATGAAACGAGCCAAGGCAAGTCCAGTCAACTCTCCAGTGTATTATTTGCCTCATCATGGTGTCTTAAGAGAAGACAGTCTGACTACAAAACTTCGTGTAGTATTTAATGGCTCTAGTCCATCTTCTAGTGGTCTATCAGTGAACGATATTCAACATACTGGTGCCAAAGTCCAGAAAGACATTGCAGACGTACTCATTTGGATCAGACAGCATAAATTTGTGTTTACATCAGACATCACAAAGATGTACAGGCAAATCAAAGTCCATCGAGATGATTGGGATCTCCAGAGAATCCTGTGGGTGGACGAGCACTCCAAGATCATCCCATATCAACTCACAACAGTCACGTATGGTACCAGGTCAGCTCCATTTCCGGCTGTTCGTACAATGATCCAGCTAGTAAAGGATGAAGGTCATAAGTTCCCTCTATCTGTTGATCCACTACTAAAAGGAAGATATGTGGACGACATTTTTGGAGGTGCTGACACAGTGAGTCAACTGATAGACATCTCAACCCACGTCAGACAACTCTGCATGGCAGGTGGCTTCCCGTTGGCGAAATGGCACAGCAACTCACTTCAATTCCTTCAATCAATTACAGACAACTCATCAGAAGAGCAGATCCACTCATTTGAGAGCAGCAAAACGAAATTACTTGGGCTCTCGTGGATTCCAGCGAACGACTCATTTAAGTTCAACTCAAAACCTCCTCGTGAGGAGTCCAAGCTCACAAAGAGAATAATTTTATCAGAAACAGCACAACTCTACGATACACTTGGATTTCTAGCACCCTTCATTGTCAGAGCAAAGATGTTGCTACAAGAAATCTGGCTAGATAAACTTTCATGGGATGACCAAGCCCCAGATCACATCATCACCAAGTGGAACAGCTTCAGATCAGAACTCTCACACGTTTCAGACCTCTCAATTCCACGATGATTAAAGATCACTCAGAAATCTACCGTGGAACTTCATGGCTTTTCAGACGCCTCATAACTAGCTATGGCAGCAATTGTTTATATACGGGCTACTCATCCAGATCATGGAACTTGTTCAACTATAGTCTGCTCAAATTCTAAGGTTGCTCCATTGAAGAAGATGTCTATTCCTAGACTAGAACTCACCGCAGCATTGCTGCTTGCCAGACTAATCACTTATGTAAGGAACAACTTAGACATTCAGCCAACTCAAACGGTATGTTGGACAGACTCCTCAGTAACATTGACCTGGATTCAGTCTCACTCATCCCGTTGGAAGGAGTTTGTAAGAAACAGAGTGTCAGCAATTCAAGAGCTCACTCCAATCAGCGTTTGAAGGTTTGTACCTGGCAAACAAAATCCAGCGGATTGTGCTTCTCGAGGTATCAGCATATCCCAGCTTCGGAAGGACCCCTGTGGTGGACAGGACCACAGTGGTTAACAGCAGACGAATCATTATGGCCAACTCAATCATCAGTGTACGATTCAAAAGCTCAGCAGGAAGAGCGGCCCGGGCTCACTTTAGTTACTCAGACAATTCAACATGATTATCATTGGGATATGATATACAGACATTCTCGGCTAATTAAATTGCTCAGAGTGACTGCAATTTGCTTCAGATTCAGCCAACTCCTCAGACGAGTACCGCAGTCATCTCTCACCTTCCCTCTCACGCCACAAGAATTAGAGAGAGCAAGGATTTTTTGGATAAAGGCAACTCAAGAATCGTACTTCTCACAGGAAATCAAGCAGATCAACTCAAATTCACTGCCCGTCTCACACCCCCTCGCACGATTGACAGCATTTATTGACACTCAAGGAGTCATACGTGTTGGAGGGAGGTTAGCAAATGCTAGCTTGGACCAAGAAGCAAAGCATCCTGCAATCCTACCACAGAAAACTCATCTTTCCAGACTAATCATTGCAGATGCTCATGAAAGATCATTGCACGGTGGGACGCAGGCAACTCTGAACCTCATACGATCATCATACTGGATCATCGGTGGACGACTCCCAGTACGATCCTATATTTATCATTGCATGAAATGTGCTCGTTTACGTGGCGAACGAGCGAAGCAGTTAATGGGTCAATTACCGTTATCAAGAATCACTCCAGCCCGACCATTTGCCGTCTGTGGTGTGGATTACGCTGGTCCCATCACGCTAAAGACTTGGAAAGGCAGAGGCGCCAAATCATCTAAGGGTTGGATGTGCATTTTTGTGTGCTTCGTTACTTCTGCACTTCATTTGGAGATTGTAACAGATTATTCAGCAGACTCATTCATTGCAGCGTTCAGACGGTTCACTGGACGTCGGGGTGTCTGCAGAACTCTCCACAGTGATTGTGGCACCACATTTCAAGGCGCAGACACGCTCATCAGACAACTCTTCAAGCAGGGGACTCAACAGTTCAGTCAACTCGCAGCTGTATTTGCAAAGGATGGAACTGATTGGAAGTTTAATCCACCAGCTGCACCACATATGGGAGGAAAATGGGAAGCTGCAGTCAAATCAGTAAAGTTTCATCTTCACAGAACGATAGGCGACTCAAACTTTACATATGAAGAGCTTTCCACACTGCTTGTCCAGATAGAAGCAGTCCTTAACTCCAGATCACTCGAGCCTCTCTCAGCCGACTCTACAGACATTTCAGCGTTAACTCCAGCACACTTCTTGATTGGTGAACCGCTCATAACATTACCACAGCCTTCACTTGAAGATGTGCCAATGCCACGCTTGTCCAGGTGGCAATTCATTCAGCAGCGACTCCAATCGTTTTGGTCAACGTGGTCAAAACAATACCTTCAGCAGCAACTCGCCATTTCCAAGTGGAAACACCCATCACACCAAATCACAGTCGGCTCACTACTACTACTTACTGACGAGAGGTTCCCACCAACGAAGTTGCCTCTTGCCAGAGTGATTGAGGTGTTCCCAGGAGCAGATGGACTCATCAGAACAGTCAAACTCAAGACAGCAGCAGCAGAGCTCATCAGACCACTCACCAAACTAGTCATCTTACCATACACTCCACCAGCAGAAGATCAGCAAAGGCGTTGCTGATGGTGGGACAATGTTCTGACTTGGAGGGGCCCAAGTCAGTTAGTCAGAAATATTCAAAAATTGTTAATGCAGGACTTGTCCACCGGCGCGTCAGTCAACTCACTGGACCAATCATCGGGAAGTATTTCCCTCATGGCCCAGAAGGCAACTCTACGGCCCTAGTGACGCCAACAAGCACGCGGTCGAGCACTTGTGGCGTCAGTTAGCTCCAGGCAAATCACGCGGTCATCTCTGTATGATTGTTCGCAGTCAAATCGCGGTTTTGTGCAGTCAGCTCACCTTTGGTAGTACCAAATACAGTCAAGTAGACTCAGACAACTTTCACGAACAAAAGTGAATCATCATCATTACTCTCATCAGTGCCAGTGGTCCAGTATAGTCAGTTGTAGTGTCTTTGGGCGCGAAGCTGAACTGGCGTCGACGCCATCAGACAATTCAAAAGTGTATAAACAATTAATGTACAGTCAACTCACATAAACTCAGTGATTATTAATTTCTATTGGTTAAGTTAAGTGTTATTGGTTAATAAAATCTATAAAACCCATACAATTTGGTGTTAATAAACTATTTTAAGGAACCTTCTAGCATCCAACCTTTTTCTTCATTCTGCTCTTAATTATTACAGTCCACTAGTTTTTAGTTTGCTCGTCCGGCTGACTCGAAGTCAGAACAGATGGAGAAAATAGCGTTGAGGATAATAAAATAGTCAATGATTATTGTTAATAATAAAAAATTGAATCATTACGATCGAACATTGTTAATAACAAATGATTATCGATCATATTAATATTTGAATAAAAAATTTTTTAATTGTTATAAACAATAAATATAGAGATCTATGCAATATATTTGAATTCTTCCAACGCGTAATTTTTTCTTTTGCTAAAAAAAAGTTAATAATAAATAAATTCGAAAGCCTATTCTAGCATGAATCGACAGTTTTTACGTGGACGTCTGTGTGTGTGTATGTACGTATGTGCGTATGTGCGTTTGTGCGTATGTGCATATGTGCGTATGTACGTTCGGAATTATTTTTCGCCTCGATTATCTCGAGAACAAAAAATGATATCGATGTGGGACTAATTGAATTCGACGCGTAATTACGTAACTTAGAAGTGAAAAAGTTTTCAGGAAAATCGGTAAAGCCATTTTTTTGGCAGAATGAAAAAACTGAAAAAAAAGGAAATTACTTGAATTTTGCAATTTATAAATTATACCATTTTTTAGACGAAATTTTAAGATCATTGCAGAAATATGAATATTAAATGATTGGAATACTTGTATGGATATATGATGACAATATTTCATCGAAAAAAAAAAATTTAATAAACAATATCAGCAATGAAAGAATTTTAAACTCGTGTCAGGATTGAGAAAACAGCATTAAAGACGCTATAATAGTCAATAATAATTGTCAATAATATGGAATTGTGTTCATAACAATTGAACATTGTTACTAACAAGTGATTATTGATCATAGTAATATTTAAAGAATAAGTTTTAAATTGTTACAAACAATAAAAATAGGGACCCTTTCTATATATATGAGTACTTTTAACGCATAATTTTTTCGTTTACTAAAAAAATGTTACCAACCGTATGCCATAAATGAAAACATACTTTTTTCGTGTATAACAATGAAATTCGTTGTAAATAATGAAAAAAGGATCTATGAGGTACATTTGAATTCTTCTAACGCATAATTTTTTCTTTTACTGAAATAAAGTAACTAACCATATCAAATGAATAAAACACACGCATTTCGTTTATAATTAATAATCCATTTGTTATAAAAAATGAAAACGGGTTCTATTCAAATTGTTTTTCTATTTTTTCCACTGGGAAGTTGGTCGTGTGGACCTTTCGAGTCGCACCCAGACCACTGCAGAGCACTGATATTTTCAGCTCTTTTTTTGTCCTTTGATATTCCTCTTCTCGGACGTCTACGTCCTTGCACTTTCGGTGCCGCTGAAATCCTCTTCTTGCTGCCAAACAATTCCTCTTCTTCTCGGCTATTTCATCCGACCACCAATACACCGGTTTCCTGCTTCTTGGTCCAGCTTTCTTCATTGGCATGCATCTATTACAGGCTGCCTCTAAGAATTTTTTGAGATACTGTGTATCGTATCCCAAGAGGGGCTCTCGCTGCGTCCTTGCCTCTTTACGCTCTTTCTCGACGAAGGACTTCAGGCCGACTTTACTCAGCCTTTTGACGGCCCATCCCTTCTGCTCCAGTCGATCTCTCACCTGTTTTTTTCTTGATCCCAGATCTTCGCCAATGTCAAACGTTATGTATTGGTGGTCACTGAGAGTCATGTCCTCCAACACCTTCTAATTGGACGCTTTAGCCGCCAAGCACTCCGCCACCATGGTGATATCTACTATGGAGCCAGTGCCTTCTCGTCTAAAGGTAAATGTTGACCCCCGGTTAAGGATAACCAGGTCTCTTCTTAGAGCTAACTCCGTGACTGTTGCTCCTCTTTTATCAGTCTGTTTGGAGCCCCAGGCGCTAGATTTACTATTTAGGTATCCGGCTACCACTCTGCCTCCCCTTTCCTTCTTCAAAAACCTTTCCAGGGTCGCGATTTGGCTGTAGAACGTTGCCCTGGGTGAGTTTGGTGAGAGATAACAACTGATGATCATGATACCATCCACCACCACCCCGACGAAGTTATCCTCTCCTTCGATGGCTCTTCCGACCCGGATATTTCGGTTCAAGATAGCTATTGCCGCCTTGCCAATACGATCTTCGAACCAAGAGCACCATTCCCACTTCCTGTGTTGCTCGCAAATTATCGCAACATCAATTCCTTTTTACACGACCGATTGTTGTAAGAGGTCCTTTAAAAGATTTTTTTTATAATATAAAATCAATAAAAAAACCTTAGCACATCATCT